CATCGGTTACATTCTTCGGTCTCAGCTTTCGATTTTAGGTGTAACCGCGCTCGTCCTCAAAGGCGCAGTAATTAGAATGAGTTTCACTCGAGGCTGAAGCGAGTAGTCGAGTGCTTTCGCTCGATTTCTCCGGTTCACCGCGTCTTTGAATCAATCATCAGCCATCGTGGACCCGGCGAGCCGCGAAACGAACAGTTAGCTCTGAAGCCAGCGTCGTGATCTCTTTCGGTGTCGAAGCTCGCTTCCCAATTTGCCGAAATCTCCATGGTGAAATTAGAGAAGCGGCGCGGAGGGCGGGAGCGAGACGGCGCGGCGCGGCGCGTTGGGACGGAGACGCGAACGGTCGGAGAGACCGACGAGCCGTAGCTCGCGGAGGACGGTAAACTAATTTGCAATTTATACCCGGGTCGGGGAACGGTCTGGTCTCTTTGGTGCGCAACCCAACGTCGCTCCGACGTTCGACCGACACCTCTCGTCAAAGAACTCGGCTCGCCCCCTTTGCCCGTCGCTCTTGTAGTCGGACTCTTTCCTTCCACCGAGGAAACGACACTTCCGTTCGTCGAAACGATCATCGTCGCGTTAACCCGTCTCAAACCCGAAACCTGGCGCGAAGGGAAAAGTTACAACCCCTTGTCTTGAGTTTCTCTTGAGATTATCTCCACGAGAGCACCTTTATCTTCGTCGTAATATTTTATTAGCAATTAGTCAGAACAAGAAGAAGTTCTATGCGTTTGATCTTATAATTTCATTTCTAACTCGATTCTCGCACGATTTTCATTCTATCAATTTCTCCCTATTCCATTCTCCACTCTCGATCTTCGGTCAACGTCTCAGTTGAAAACCCCAGAAACTCCCGCAGTGAATAACGAAACCCCGATAATAGTTTCCACAAGCAACATCGGAAACAGATTCCAAAACGCGTCCACGGTCCATCGCCGGTCTCAGCGAACGGCACGCGACCAAGGGGAAACACGAATCTCGTAAGAGGAGCAGCTCCGGGAAGACGAGAAAACGCGTGCTCCATTGAATGGTGGGAAAAGCTGGTGGCACCCCCTTCGCACATAGGGTAGCAGGGTATCGAGAAAACGCGCACACTCCAATTTGCCGGCGCTTCGCGCGCTCTTCGGCGTCTCGTTTACGACGTTACGTGGAAAGCATACTGCCGCTTTGAGTTGACGATACGCGGAAATGGAGGGTGTGCGCGAGGATCGCTCCACCGGGTTGCATCGTCGGACCGTCGTCCTGCCGAAGATATTCGTCGATCGCTACGATCCTCGCATCCTTGTCGTCGTTCGTCGAATTAATCGGATCCCGCGTTCGCACGGTTTTTTCCCCACACTGAGCACCCTTTAGAACGCGCGCGCGTGTTCGTACACCGGTACCCAACGGTCGACCTTATTTTCCACGTGAAAAGTCGTTGAGACCGCGCGCAACCACTAATTAGAATGCATATTCCGGCCAGGCCGTAATTGTAGGACGCGCGACGCCGCGCCATAATTTCATTACGTTTTAATTAACATGCTCTCCCCCACGCGGCGCGCGAGACTTAAAGATCTCGCGAAGGATTCTCGAGCAGGTGAACGCGTCCGTGTTCCCTCGCGCTCGATATCCGCCGTCCCGGCCGATGGGACTGTCGTTTACTACCGGAAGACGGCTCAAAGCTCGGACCGGACTCGCGCAATTACCGGCTAGACGCCCGCCTCTACGAACCCAGGGAAAATCGAGGCTCCTGTACACCGGCGGGAACGATTCCCGGGTTAATTTGCTGGATCGTCGAAAACGTTCGCGCCTCGCACGGTGTCAGGGGCTAGACCTAGCTCCGGGCGACACCGTCGATGGCGAAAGGGATTTCGAACGCGAACGCGAGCAATTCCGGCTGCAATCGGGGGTTTATTGACGGAATTAACGGACATTTATTCGCGCCGCATTATTTCGAGTTTCACTTCTTGCGTGGGACCCGCGGTTGTAAATCTCACTTTCCTCGTCGGTGTCTACCGTTATAATAGGAGTTTCCTTCTGATGAATGTTGCCAGGTTTTTTTTCTTATACCGAGGCAGTGCGAACAATTAAAAGGGAGTATGTAGATGTTACGGGTAGAACGGTCGGGAATTTGCTTCGTTTCTTCGCGGATTTCCGGCTTTCCTTTGTTTCGTTGAGATCATCTTGACATTGTGGAGGAACGAGATGCGGACTGATACGGTTTGAAGTCTATTTGCATGTCAGTCTGCGGAAAGGTAGGATGAATCTTTCCGTGTTTACGTTCTATATGCTAATCCACAATCGTTGCAAGGATAATTCACGAAGTACTATATTCTTTTCGAGTTTCTCTCACGAAACCGTGCATATAGGAAGAATTTGATGCTTGTTACGTTGTGTGACTATAGGTACGTAATATCTCACCGTTGGGACACCCGTTAGAATCTAACCATCGCGATTCTAACTAAAGATAGACAGATATTTGGACATTTATACGCGGCTTCCAGAGGAATTAACGAAACAAAGCATAAATTACCAATAAGAAAATTCCCTTTCGAAATCAATCACAAAATTCCGATTCTCATATATAATTCCCATTATTTACAAATATTTGTAATATCCCAATAATATTATAATATTACACATATAATAATTCCCATAATTTACAAATAGTATTTGTAATATCCCAATGATATTCCCAGTATTTACACGCACAATAATTCCCATTATTCACAAATAGTATTGTGCCATCCAATAATATTCCCAGTATTTACAAGCATAATTCCACGTCGCAGTATGTCAAAGAAATTCATTCGACGATACTCAAACTGCATTGTAAATGAATTACGTCAATAGATGCGCTCTTTCGAGGAACTTCAAAGAGTGAATTCGGCTCGGTGGCCTCAGTATTAATACCACGACAAGTACTAAACAGCGTCCGCGTGCCGAACGCTCCCAACACTCTCGTAATCGGCGAGAGCAGCCAAGAAGCTCGAAGAAAAATGGAGGAGACACGAGAAAAAGGAGTGAAGATGTTCGACAGGACTTCTCCATACCCCGAAATCGATGACGCGCCGTCGACGACGCTCTCGACACCGTATCGCTCGAGGAGTCCCTCCTCGGGGCTCGTGGTTTTTCTTCAGCCACGGCCGAGACTCGAGAGAGAAATCACGAAGCGGCGTCCTCGGGAAGAAACGCGGACGAGTTCGAAAGAGATCTCCAGGGAGGTCGGCCGGCGAGATCGCGGAGTTTGGCCGCGGATGGCCCGTGAATCGTCTCCTTCGGCTGAGGAAAACCCGTCGAGGAAGAACTTCTCGGATTGCGGGCCACGATATCGCGGGTATAAATAAATAAAACGCAACTGGACCGATAAAGAGAGAGAGAGAGAGAAGGAAGGATGCATCGAGGAGATTCTCCAAGGCACCGCGTGATTCCATCCGGCGTCTTATTTTTAATTTTATTTACCGTGCCGCTCGGACGCTAAGCGTAAACCCGATACGTTATTGGCCGGCCGCCTTATCGATGTCTTCACGAGTACCTCCGCGATTGGTCGTTCCCTGTACGTGGCCCGTAAACATCGAATCACGCGTCGTAAGTTCCTTAAATCGAGGGAAACTTTCATCGCGCCACTTTATCCGGGGGACAGTTATTAATTGGCTCTTCGGTGACTTGTAATCTTCCATTGTAACGCGAGGTAATCAGGTTCTTCGGACGATAGTCTTCACGTCGTAATTGGATCGTGGTATTAACACTAGGTTTACGGGCATTTATTGTACACTTCATTCTATTATTCCTAAAAGAATTGATGCTCGTTTATTTAGATGGAAACTGGAGGTTTGATAGTAGGTAATTGGGGTACGTGTCAGTGTGATCGCATCAGTCAAAATTGGCGTAAACATTTACAAAATAATATTTCTAAAATCCAATGTGCGCCAATTTGACGCGTTCTGTAAACGTAGCGTTAACCGTTTGAAGCAACGTGATCATGATTCTTTAGTACACTGCCTAAAAGTGCCTATCGGTTCTTAGAATCAAATGAAGTATTCGTCTAATTATTTAGAGTTATTAATGCCTGCTTAGAAATGGAAAACAGAACGATCGCCGTATTTAGAATTTTTTCTAACCGAATTATTATATTGTAGTTCACTCAATTAAATGATTATTTGAAAACATTTGTATATTATAAATAGTGTTGCCTAATGTGACAATCAGCTAGATGAGCGCGTAATGATACAATTCAATCGAATGGTTTAACACTAGAACTACTGTACCAGTCAAAATGGTTTCAGTTCTTCTGTTTCGCAATTATTGATATCTTCAAAGCATTGAATATCGGAAATGATTTTGAAAATAAATAGTTTCACTTGAATACTGAAGAGTGTCTGAAGAAACCGAAAATAATCCATTGCTACAATATTCATAGCGATTACATTTCAATGCTATGAAATGCTCGGTAGTTTCAGTGTTAACCCTCTGTAGGCCCACGTAATTTTGAAGTCACATATCGGTATATTGGCATCTTGTTGATTTATCTCATTCTGCACTCAAAGTGGTGAATAGAATTAAGTAATCAGTTAAATTAAACTTTTATACACTCAGGCGTGAAAGTTTAACGTCATTATAACTTGAAAGTTACAAAACATATTCGTTTGAAGAAATTATTGAAACTATTGAATACATTGTTAATTCGTATTCATAATTATTATTTATTAATTTTGTACTGCATAGATTTTGTTATAATCACAAACAAAAATTCGGCCCATAGAGAGTTAACATCATATTTCTCCCGTTTCGAGTAGTTTGCTCTACGAAATCGGCATTCAACGTGTTAATAACAATTTGCGGACGCAGAATTCTACTATCGAAAGTTTCATTAAGGATTCTATCTTCCTGTACGTTATCTTCTCAGCCGTACAATCATCAATAACTTCCGATAGACAATACGTTAAAGAATCCTCTCTCGCCGTTGAATCTCGATACCGCAGCCCTCGAAACTCGGACTCCGAGTTCTCGAGCACTCTTACCTGCACTCGAGCAGCGCGCTCTCGCCGCGGACCGTGTACGCCGGCACCTTCAGCCGCTTCAGCTTCAGGCCGGCCACTGCAACAGAAAGAAGAACCGTCTTTCTAAAATCCTCTTCAACCGGTCCCGGTACAGCGCATCGGAATCTTTCGCTAGACTCGCCAGCAACAAAACCTAATCTCATCGTTCAATCTCCGTTCATCTCGTACACGCTCTCCCGCATCCATTCCCCGCGAGTCATAATTCCCGAAGCTAGATATATTCCCTCCACGGACGCACTATTTTATTCCGAGAAGAATCCAAACAGAAAACTCTTTCGCTCGATCGCGAAGCCCCTCTCGTTCGGATTCGACCAACGCTTGACCCACTGCCGGGACACAATGGAGGCATTAAAAAAACAGCCCTCGGTGTATTTCGACGAGGAAATCTCGCCGGGCGCGACCTTCGAGCCCGAAGACCGTGGAAGAAAAGCTCGGCGAGCCGGTTGGGCGTCGTTCGATCGGCCGATCGAGAGAGAAAGGTTCTGGGGTCGTGGGCGGCGGTGGAAACCGCGAGTGGATGGATCGTGCTAGATGCTCAAACAATGCTCCGCAAACTCCATTGTACCGTCCTTTGTGATCGTTCTCCTTGCCGTGGCCTCCCTTCGTTTCCCTTCGCCGTGGCCGACCTGCCTCCACCGCCCCCCGCGCCCTTCCGGGTCAACGTCGCCGGCCAATAACCGTGGAAAACGCATCGAGATGCAATTATCCGATTCGAACGTCGCCGTTTAACCTCCGCCCCCGGCCAGCGTCGCGCGTCTGATCCGAGCAGACGCCGCAGGAACGTACGGGGCTTTAGATCGATGCGGGAAGGGGCGGGAAGGGGCGGGAAGCCGAGCCGATAATTGTCCGGAACAAGGCTATAACTTTCCGCCGAGATTACACGTTGAAAATGATTACCCGAAATACAAATGTCACGTTCGCTCTTTTATGGTTCTGGGTTAAGTGCCAGCAGCCCGAGCGCGGGCAGGAACGCTCGGGACATTTTAGGAGCGGAGGTCCCAGATAGCCGGCGCCGTTCGCGGAGCCGCGAAATTTTACGGTCACCCGGTGAATATCTAATCCACGTCCTCTCGCCGGAGAGATTTCAGATTTCCTTTTATAACTGCCCATCGATGCGCCCGGGTTTCTCTGTTGCGCGCCCCGTGTCTTTATTATTCGAAGCTTCAGTCGCTCGTAGGATAACCATGGGATTTTGAAAATACCAATTGGAATTTTGTTATTCCTCCAGCTATCCGTGCGAGTCTATGCACAGCACACCGATTTCTATATATCGTATATCATTTTACCTGAATCTTTCAACTGACATTATACTCTCCTATCTCTCGGAATATGTTCTACCCGCAACAACGAGCAACAATAAAAATTGGAATTATTTACAACTGCCAAAAACTCGGAACTACGCGCGACAGCTGACATCCGTCGGAACGATTGAATTACCCAGATCGGCCCGCGAAACTTCCCGGCCGCGTTTAATTAAATCAACGCGATATTCCGCGGAGAAGAACGGAGCAGAGGCAGGCATCCGGCGGTGGCAGGCCCGTCAAGCTTGTAATATACGGCCATTCCTAACGCGGAATTACACGAGCCGGCGGAGCAGGGAAGACTGTCGTCCGAGCCGACTTCCGCCGGGATTGTTCTCCGTACCCGGGTTTTTTCGCGAGTTTCCCGACGCGGGGACTTTTGAACGCCGCGAGGCGTCGCGTCGCATCGCGTCGCGTATCGTGCTCGTAATTCCGAGCCGCGGCCACTTTGCCCCGCGATCTCGGACGTGTACGTGGCTGGCTTGTAAGTTACTCCGGCCGGAAAGAAACGTTCGCCGCGGTTAATCTCTCGCGCGGCCGCGCCGCTTAATCCGCCACTCACGGGCCAGGATGCATTGTCCTCCTAATTACCCCGGCCCGGAATCTTAATAGACTTGGAAATGCCGAGCGTGTCGGGCGCCGCGCTCGAATTACGCAAACGTGCGGGGACTTTTTAATCGAAACCGCGGACAACGCGTGCCTCGCCGCCGCCCCCCGCCGCGCGTTATCGCGTTTTTAATTGGAAACGACGAGCCGGCGGCCCGTTTCCGCGGTACTAGTGAAATTTGATGCCGGACGGCGTGACCCTGTTGTCGGCCGAGCGTCAAACGCGGCGTCGGATAATTAGGCCGCGAGAGCAGTTATTTAGCATTCTGACGCGGCCTCGGCCCTTCGCAGGAGACTCGCTCTCGGTCGCCGCTTGATTTGATTCAGGGGAGTGATAACGCTTGCATTCCATAGTAAACCTCGCGTGATACATCGTTGCGAGGAACAATGGGATAAGATAGTTTTGTTCTTCGATTTACACGCGGATTATCGGGAGATTTGGGATGACTACGTCGTTTGGAAACGTTGTGTAGACGATTCGCCCACATATCTAACGAAAACGCATAAATAACGGAACAAAAGGAAGATCTCCAATGATCTCGTTAGCAACGTTGATGAAATGTTCGTTGATACACGTTGACGCGATTAACCAGTTACTCCACGCTCTCGAACCCCTAGCAAAGCGTCTAAAGGACAATTAGCAACTATGAATTCAACTTGAGAACCGAGTATCGCTTACGTCGATTAACTCTTTAGCTACGACAGAATTTTCAACTAAATTCAATCAATCTAAAACAATCGATACAATATATATCTAACGGAAGATGTGATTGTTGAATAATTCACTTTGTAGACGGTTCGCCCTTTTGCTCGTCGGTACTTGGGGCCTGAGAGATAGTCCAGGCCCATTGACAAATTTATGACCAAGGGGACCACCATGACCTGGCTCACGTGCGCCCTCGACTAAGGAGCCTTCCTTTTTAGAAAAGCAGTTGAGGAAAAGCAATTAGCCGCCGTTCCTCGTTAGAGCCACATCGCGTAATAAATATATTTAACCCGACTACGGACTTAGTTTTTATTTTAGTAGCCCTACAACTTAAATCTAAGAGACCTTCTTCAATTGTCAATAACATTCTTCGAGCGACGATAGGCAACAGTATACGAAATCAAATTGCTAAACGCGCCAACAGTAGCCAATGAGTTAACACAATACGCGCCGGCCCGATAATGCGAGATTTTTAATCTATCGTTTAATTACTAATCCTACGTTAATGTAACATGTTAGATATGCATAACACAAATCCAAGGTAAAATCACAAAATCGCATTATCTATTATATTCTTATTCTCTCTCGTAAGTTAGAAATCTATTTAAAATATATTTAACCTACGGACTTAGTTTTTGTTTTAGTAGCCTTACAGTTGAATGTTTCTGAAGAACTTCCGAGTGAAGAGATGTCAGACAATAGATTGTCGTTGTAGGTCTTCTAGATATCAGATGACGCGGGAATCTTTGTTAGAGCGAATCAAATGAGAAATGAGATTGCAAAGAACGCCAGGTGTCTCCAGCCCTTTACACTCAGCGTTTAACATTGCATTTGCTGTGTTTCTCGGAGGGACAGTCCGCCGCGAAGGGTTGAAATAAATATGTTGTCCCCGAGGTACCAAGCCGCGAAGTTGACAGAGTTCCTCTCGGCAAGAGAACCGCGCCTGACCTCGTGTCATTCAGCCTGGAACCTCGGAACAGCGAAATCAAGCATTCCGTGCCCGAGCCGTACACCTATCATCCTGCCAGGATTCCCGCGGAAACTCCTTTTCTCTCGATCATCTCCGACCGTTCCGAGCTGGAACTCGAAGAGGAATGCCACGAATTTTTCTACACTCCGACGAAATAGCCGCGCCGGCTACGGAACCCGATGTCCGCCGGTTAACGAGCGTTAACTCGATATTCTCCGGCGAATCGCGAGCCGCGGTGAATCGATAACTCGCGCGGAGAATCGTGGATTTCGGTCGTCGCCGTCTCGTTCCGGGGATCGCGGGTGGACCGGTCGAAAACCCGGCCGGAACTACGACAATAACGTCGCTTCCGGTGTACGTAGCGGGATCGTCCATTGAATTAGAGCGCCCGCGGCATCGTTAATCGAGATAAGCGAGTTCGAGGTCTCGACTGCCACCCGGCTTTTGATCGAACGCTCGTGACGCGGGTCACGAGTGCGCCCTATCGGCGGCCACGACTCGATTTCCCCTCGCTCAGGAATTAATTGCACGCCCGCGCCCGCTTCGACTTTGAATAGCCACTCGAAGTCTGTTCTCTCTCCGGGGCAAACTCGCCTTCCGCGCTTCGGTGCGAAACCAACCCGGGTTTCCGCAGCCGCGCACCGTTCCCTCTTCTCTTTCTTCCCGGCACGCCCGCTTCCCTTTCGCCGCGGCCGCGGCAGCCTTCCCAACGACAATCCGTCTCGGTAACGTGTTCCAAACGCGACTCGAATCGGTCCTCGCGCGAGGACCCGTCCTCCTGGCAGACAGCAGGGCTACGAGCGAGTGCCTCCGGCGGTCCGTGTTTGGCGGGTTTAATGATAATCCAGGAATCGCTGGCGAGGAAGCATCACGAGGAATACTTGGGCGAGGTTGTTTCAGACGTGGAGCGTTTGAACGATTGTTGGCGAGTGTTGGAGGGTGTGTAGAGCGATGGGAAAGGAATCCTTGGAACTTTGCTTTGTAATTTTAACCAGTTAACTGTGCTTCACGAGTATACGTCGTCTTGAAACTCTTAATGCTAACTTTTTCAACGAGGGATTATTTATTTTTTGAGATAAACGTGGAATTCTTCTTCGTTTCGCTTTGGGTTTCCGTTAGGATATATTTTAAGTGCTTTTGGCCTGCATTTAACCCTTAGCGCTCCAGGTTGTTTTGTAATCTATCAGCAACTTCAACTAATTTTTATAGTATTCATAGCGAAAATTAGAAATGCTATAACATTTCTTCAATCTTTTATTTTCCTTGTTAGTACAAAATTTGGATGTGTGGAAAATCGAATAATTTTAGGATAGTTTCTTTAAGATTCATTAAAATATTTAATATTATAACTGATACAATATTGGAGCCTACAGAGTTCGAAGGGTTAACGAGTATACACTTCATTATTTGATTTTATTGCGCAAGGAGAGATTTTTCAAAATAAATTCCATTTAACTGGTTAATGCTTAATATTGAATATGGAATTTTTGAGTCTACAAATCTTTACAAGTCTCGGGCGTGGAGCGTTTGAGCGATTTTTTAGGAGTGTTCGAGTGTGTACAGAGTAATAGGAAAGGAATCCTTGGAACATTAGCTTGCAATTTTAATGTTTGTTATTGAATTTGGAATTTGGAATTGTCAAGTCTATATTTTTACAAGTCTCAGGCGTGGAGCGTTTGAGCGATTGCTGAGTGCTGGAATATCTATAGATTCATAAAAAAAGAATCCTCGAAACTTTAGTTTGTAATTTCAATATTACTTCAAAATTCTGAATGTTCAAACGTTCAAATCTCCAAACACAATGTCTAATCCTCAATTTCAAATATCTTAATTCTCTATTTCCAGGTGCAGCGGACCACGCCAGATCATCAACCAGCAACCGATCTCCGCATTTTACATCGAAACCGATACAACACGCACACTCTCCCAAAACCCAGTAACATTCATCACTCCCAACCCCATGACCTTTCCAATTTCATCGGAAAACCCATTCGAACTTCATAACCGTGCCACGTCGCGCGCCTCGAGCCGCGAGACTGCAAAAATCAGCTTCCACTCGCGACAGCCGAACTCCAACCCCCGCAACGCCGCCCCCAAAATCTACCTGCAACTCGCGAGTCGCTTTGTCCTTTCGAGGAAACATTCCTCGTGATCCGGCAGCTTCCGAAACGCACTCGCGACGAGCGTTCCCAGTCCGTTCCACCTTCCGTTCACCGAAGCATGTTCGGGGCCGGCGTTGGTTCCCAGCCGCGCGACTGCTCCGCAGTTCGTCGCGCCAGGTTACTCGGAAACAAGTCGATGAAAACGATGTTGCTCAGCGTTTCCCGGTGACTGCGCGTGCTGTGAAACCTCGTGTACCGGCGGTCTTTTGTCGAACAACAGTTCCGCAGCGCGAGAGGAGAATCGTCGCAACCCCGTTCTTCCGATTCTCCCGTCGACGCTCCGCGTGTGCACGCGCGAATCCTTTTGTCCGTTTTCAGCCCTCCTTTCGTGCGCATCCCCCACTCCAGCCGGTATCGTCCGACCGTAATCGTAAAACCGATTTATCCCCGATTCGACAGAAGCGAAATTAATTGCCGCGGTGGAGTACTCCGAGGGAGAGAGAGAGAGAGAGAGAGAGCAGCGAGGGTTCATTGAGCGGCGTTTTTCGTCCGGAAAAACCGTCCTTTCGGTTTCACCGCGATATCGCGAGTTCGAGCGGAAAACTAAACGCCCGCTTGGAAGACGCGGCTTGATA